TGGTGCAGTGGGAATGGTCGTTCTTGATCTCCCTGCCCCATGTGAGGGGCAAGAGGGGGACAGAAGTGGAGATGGGGTTAAAAGATTGTCATTGCTCCCGGAGGCAGAATCCTAAGACTTGGGACCTATGCCCTTCACTCGGTGTAAATTATCCTTAATAAAAGGAAATGTACAGACAAAAAGTGATTGCCAGGTGCAGCAGACCCAACTCATGGCTACCACGCTCTCTGGCAATTATTATAATGATCCCGTCCACCCTTGACATGGCACAGTTACTCATTCTATCACTCTATCTCCTTTGCTCTCCCAACAAACCTGTGAGGTCAGCAGATCTGAGTGTGTTGGCCCATTTGTCAGATGGAGAAACTGAGGCCCAGAGAGGTTCACTGACTTACCCGAAGCCACCCAGCCAGTTTGGGGCAGAGCCAAGCCTAAAGCTCAGGCCTCACTTGCCTTTGCACCAGTGTTAGGGAAGGAGGATGTTAAGAGCATCGCCTTCTGACTTTCTCCTCTTACATTTTATGTGTGCCTGATTCACAGCCCTCCCCAATTCCAAAAACCACGTGAAGCTGCTGATTCCTTTTTCTGCTACAACTTTGAAGTCGAATTCTCCTCCAGAGGTGCTGCAGGGTGGGGCGATGGTGGTGCCTCTCCCTTCCCAAAATGGTGTAATAAAGATGTTACCTGTCTCCCCCACAGGACATGAGCTCCCTCTGAGCAGGGGACTTGCCTGTCTCAGTCACCACTGAATCCCTGGGACCCAGCGTGATGCCTGGCACAGGATCTCTGGTGAGCAAATGAAGGAAAGAATGAAAAGAACTAACTACGAACCGGTTCCATTTCCCTATAAACCACCCAGGGTCACACAAGGGCCATCGACGGTGACCAGGGGTGAGAAATGTACAGTGCTGTCCTCGTGCCATGCTGGAGGTGAACGAGGAGAACGTGAGCTGGGGTGTCCTCACCAACTGCACACACCCCCCTGCAACTCCCCTGACGGCCAGGGCTGTGTCTGGGGCTCAGGGCACAAGGCTCCATTAGCTGGGCAGCAGCTGGCCCATGAAACAGCCCTTTCAGCTCCACCTCTGAATGGCAGTTCTATGGGCTCGTCGGAGGAACACAGGCGCCTTCTCTGTGTCACTTCTGCGCTCATTAGCAGAGCTGTAGAAATACACTACAGGTAAGTTTTCAGGAAGAGAGATGGGTCCCCCACCAACCACCACCAAAAAAAAATAAGGGCAGCTTTGGCATTCTATAGCAGGGGCAAGGCCTGGGGGCGGTGGTGGAGAGGAGATCTGGAAGTTCAGCATATACATTAAGGAAGGAAAATCAATATTTGTGTTTTTTTAATGTGAAACATTTTTCCCTAGGACTCAAAATCGAGAACAGTGTGTCTGGTATGAGCCAGAAGAAAAAAAAAAATGCACGGAGAGGCCTTCTGCGTAGTTGCTCACAAGGCAAACAGTGAAGGGCTCTGCTGTTCCCTCCTCCTGTTTTCACATCCCTCGGGCTTCCAGAAACTTAAAGCCATTAGTGTTTAATGCAAGAGAGAGCATTTGTGATCCACGGAGAGGCCCCTGGGCAGTGTGGTTCAGTGGGAAGCACCCAGGACTCCCTCTCCAGTGCTCCCAGGATCAGCTCTTTCCCTAAAGAGCAAACTGGTTAACTTGCAATAACCTAGCTAACCAGATGCAACATCAGCCGGGGCAGGCTGCCCCCTTCACTCTTCGCTCACCATCATCAGTTTGGCAGTATCCACATACGCCTTTACCAGTACTTATTTAATCTTTTTGTATAATTCACTCTAAACCAACTCACTTCTTAAAAATTTCTCTGCCTTCTAAGAAATAATAGCCATGAAATCACTGGTTTGATGTACGGTTTATTTATTTATTCCAATAAACATTCATTCAATATAAAATTTAAATAAATTCAAAACTAATTAAGTTTAGCTTTTTCATCCACATATCACTGAAAATTTTGTTTTCTGCCGGTGGCTTGCACGACAGACTTTGAGGAATGCTGTGAAGTGAAACGGCTTCAGAATCAAAGAGAGCTGGGCTTGAGTCCCCCTCAGCTGTGGCGATTTCCAGTAAATCCCTCCCTTTTCTTCCTGTTTCATGTCTGTAGCATTGGAATCTTAATGCTAATGCCACTGGAAGATTGTAAGGAAGCAATGCAGTGAATGCTACATCAATGCGTATTGGACTTTTTGTTTTAGTTTTTGGGGTTTTTTTGTTTTTTGTTTTTTGTTTTTAAGATGGGGTCTCACTCTGTCACCCAGGCTGGAGTACAGTGGCACAATCACAGCTCATTGCAGCCTCCACCTCTCTGCTTCAGGTGACCTTCCCACCTCAGCCTCCTAAGTAGGGGACTATAGGTGTCCACTGCCATGCCCAGCGAATTTTTTTTTTTTTTTTTTTTTTTGGTAGAGACAGGGTTTCACCATGTTGCCCAGGCTAGTCTCGAACTCTTGAGCTCAAGTGATCTGCCCACATCAGCCTCCCAAATTGCTGGGATTACAGGCGTGAGCTACCATGATGGGCCAATGCTTATTGCTCTTACAATGCCTTCTTGTATCAGTCAGGCTAGGACAGGCTATGTTGCAATAACAAACACGCCCCCCAAATCACAATGGCTTAATACAAGGTTTGCTTCTCTCTCCTGGCACCGTCCAGGGCCAGGCAGGTGCCCCCCACATAGGCCCTCTCCAAAGTTGCCTCCACCATTTCCAAGTCCTTGCCTCTGGCCATGTGGACAAGAGAGAGATAGCAAGGGTCTCTCTTAACTGCCTCAGACAAGGAGTACACATTACCTGACTCTACCTGGATGCCCAGGGCCAGGATATGGCATTTAGTTAGCAATGACAGTCTCTGTCACCATTGCCAGAGGGGTAAGGCTTTGTTAGCCCTGTATCACCTCTAGATGGAAATTCAGACTTAGCTGGCGTTTAAAGCTCTTCACTGTCAGCTTCCTTCCACCTTCCGGGCCATTGTCAGTCTTTCTCTTTCTCCCCCTCTCCTTCCCTCCTGCCGTCTCCCTCTCTTCTCTAGCACAGAATGAGTCACTCCTTCTGTTTTCAGAGCCTCCCAGAGAGACTCCAGTCCTCATACTAACTCCCTATCAGAGTTTGTACTCAATCCATGGTGACCCATTTTATTTGTGGGGAAATGTCAAACCCTGAAGCTCAGGCTGTGAAGGAAACTCAAAGGTTATCTCCACCTGGCCACCCATGCTACTCACCTGTTGTTAAAACTACAAGCTCCACCCCTGCTACGTGCCTTCTTGGGGCCAGAGGGTCAGCTGTCACCCCAGGAGCAGCTGTGAGAGCTTCCCAAGCGAATGGTTCCTGCAGTCAATCACAATGGAAGAAGAAATGGGCATCTGGAGGAGCGGGCTCAGGTTTAGCACTGGGAACTCTAGCTGGCCCA